TTGTCCAAGCTGTGGTAGATTGATTGCGAAAGAACCGGGTACTTGCAACAAGATGCAATGTGTCTGTGGACAATACTACTGCTATCGGTGTGGAAAAGGAAATACCGGGAGGTATGAAAATGCAATGAATGGTGGTTGTAATTGCCCAATTTTGGACAAGGAAGATATAGAAATCAAGATGACAGCACGCGACGATGAAACGGATAATCCATTCGGTTTTGGTGGAATACCCCCAGCTAGAGGGCCTGCACGGGGTTGGTTCGACGGCAATATGAATGCAGGACATCCATTCGGATTCCCAGAACCCCCAAATATTCACCTTCCGGGAGTTCATGTATTTCAAGGAGGTCATGCTGTTTGGGGTAGACCCCCACCTTTTGCCAGACCCCCACCTTTTGCCAGACCCCCACCTTTTGCCGTACAACAACCTTTCGTCATACCACCACCTTTTGCCATACCACCACCTTTCGCCAGACCTCAACCTACTGCCAGACCTCAACCTACTGCCAGACCTCCATTGCAGTGGAATGACCCTGCTTTGCATAACCCTGATTTGCATGAGCCATATCCGAATGGACCGCCTTTCGGACCGCCTTTCAGACGGCCCATACCAGACCGCGGACGTCAGGCCTCGCCTCCCCCTCAACAACGTCCTGGTTTCGTTCGACCTAATAATGGATGGTACCTTAATTAGATATCCCGATTGTTTTGAGGGGATTTGGAAAAAATCGAAGTGGTCCCCGAACCATGGCGTGGAGGATATCAAGGAAACAACAGTGGAGAAGAAGTAAAGAAGAAACGATCCTGAGAGGATGCGGAGTGTGGGTGGTGGTGTTTGATTGGGAATATCAGAAATGGGTTCAAGAAATGCGGCGAGATTGATGCGGATGGGACGAATTTGACGTGTGCTAGAAGTTTCGCCACGATGGATTCCGTTAGGTTTTCCGATTTTTGGATCTCGAAATGGAATTTGTCATTTTGGCATTCTTGGAATTCAGTTATGATTTGTGTACATACCAATTAAATCTGGTTATTTGATACGTCAATGTTTTAACGAAGAAAGAATCTTAATTTCAGAAACGTACTCTAGTCATAGAGATGTCAAATTCGTGAGGTAATGAGAAATTATTAGTAGCATGTCTTAAGAAACGTCCTCGGCTTTGGTATAATCTGTATATTTGTGGAAACTCACAGCTATATTATAGCTTCAAAGAGTATACGATATGATTATCCCGCTTCAGCTCTAGAGTAAGATATGGTGCTATGTATACCTATACATAGTTATCGGAGGTATGTCCGTCTATGACTAATCAATATATAGCAGAATCTGTGAATAATAACTCCACGTCGCCCCTCACTACTTGTATCTCATCCAACACAACCTGATTAAAGATCAACACAACCATCAAACAAAACTTCTCATCTCCGGTCAAATAAGAATTCCAAACGACTGGCTATGGGCACCATAGCTTTAGTATACCTTTCTACATCGTTTCATGCTTGTCATCAAGTTGATAGACGCCACGACGCGCGTACCAAGAGACGAACTAAGACATGCTTGTCGCATCTGTCGATAGTCCTGTAGATCTAAACTTCATTAAGCTTAATTAAAAGCATTGACAGTGAAAATGCCCCTGCAGAAGCGACGATCTTGTTTACTATGTGTATCACCATGCATCATATACGGTGTCTACCCCTCTAAGTAGTCGACTTTACAGCACCAGTACATAGCAGAATCATATACAGCCGCAAAGCTGAGCATGGGCCATATTTCCGTACGTTTAAGCTTTAGGTACAAGCACAAAGCTATCAGCGTAGCTATCGAGCTTGGTTTACACTGAAGCACTAGATAATTTTTGGCCAATTCTTCCGTGGCTGGAGGTATTTACCGGTGAGCAGTAGTACGGAATAGGGTTAAGAATATCCATGTGTATCCACGCGTACCTATTATGGTAACCGTAGGGCTGCATCGACCATGGTAAACAGAGATTTTTTGTCAGAAAGTTTGGATTGAAGCTTTTTTCTTTGAAAGATATGGAAGACTATCAAGTCTTGGGCAAATATCATGTTCTGTGTAGCTTTCATCACTAGTTGTCATGCTGTTGCTGTGCGTTGTAGAAATTGTGCCTGTAGAAGGCTTACAGCTAGTCATCATTGAATTTGAGCTGGACTTCTGATGTGGGTATGCTACCTAGATGGGCTAGCCTGGAGGGCGTATATGTAGGAGATCGAACCGGTGGAACGGATGCCAGCTTCAAGCTTCCTGCTGAAAATACCATACTCTGTAGGGGCAATGGAGGAGCTTATTTTTATAATTATATATAACAGGTTTAAAGCTCTGTTCATTCGAATTTTTGGTCGACTGAAAACATTCTGAATAAGCAATTACTTTTATAGAAGGAAGAACTTTGATAACGATAGGTTGAAAGTTATGATAGGTATTGGGGTTATGTGTTGTTGATGAGTGGTAAGAAAGTACTTGACTTTGTCGCGACGCGATTGTGGGTTGTGGTGAGTAGATCCCCCTGTTGAATCGCAGGAACTGAACCCTGTTCTCCGACGTAAAAGCACTCTCACCCTGAAAATCATATCCCTCACAAGTCGTTAAGTCTATTTTGTAAACACGGGATGCGAGCCGGATAACAAAGTTAGCCTACCGTAACTAGTGGTGTAGCGTACCAAAGCTGGAAGATCGGTTCCGACAAAAAATCGTACATGAAGAGGGTGTGTGCCATGTGAGATAGCCAGAGCTCAGCTTTACAACTTGTGTGATGTTGTGATTTTCATGAGATTCTTCTATTTCCCTTCCTACACTAATTCTTTTTTCCATTTTTCTTTCGTTTAGAATTTCTTCACCTTGAGGTTGCTCACTGATCATCTATAAACTACATTTAGTTTATCCACATTCGTTCAACTACTCTAGCTAAACATCCCCACATCTCCTCATTGGCTCAACATTCAGCAATCCCCTCACTCGCCGGTTGCTCGCCGCCCCCGCTATTGCAATTATGGACCATAAACCACCCGTTTATGCCGCCCTTCAACTCTTCGCCAAAAACCTACTCACAAAACGCATCGTAGTCCTTACGACATTCCTGATCATAATTCTCTACCTCCTCTTAACAACCCCACTTCCTCAACATCATTTCCATAGTGGGGGTTTATCCTCCCTTGACTCCGATTCCAACGCCAGCACATGCAATCCCTACTCCGGCTCAATCTACCTCCATTTAAACAACACCAATCCCCTAGAAAGCACCTTCGCCAGTTTCTCCAGCTGCCAACCTACCCAACCTCCATGGCTCAACCAATTAATCCTCACCAAGCCCACTGCACCGGGTAGTGTCGGACGCGGCTTACCTCCAATCCAAGAATTAACAAACAAAACCCTCCTTTTAATTGGCGATTCTGTGGACCGATTCCTAGTTACCGATCTATGTTCACTAATTGGCGGTGTTTTAACAATCCATCCTATAAACAGTTTCGCCATTCCAGCTTCGGATGAAGAAAAAGAAAACAAGGGAATGCCCCGAAGTTGTTTCTTGGCATCACATAACTTAACCCTGGCAAATTATTTCTTTTATGGATATGATGAATTGGATATGTGGAAAGATAAAGTGGGGACTTGGTCTGCACCGGGACCTTTTGGAAAGCGTTGGGAAGAGTTGAAGAAGGCTTATAAAACCCTGCCAAAGGAACCGGAAGTGGTGACAGTTAATTTTGGTTTGTGGGAGTTGGCAAGATTTGATAAGTTGAAGGAGGGAACGGAAGATCCCCCGGAGGTGGATACGGATTTTGTGGAGGAGTATATATCAAATACAGAGGGACTTCTAAAGCGAGTACGAGAGCTGGCAGGAAACAAAGCAAGGATGGTTTGGAGACAGATGCATACGCCAAAGATTGAGGATGGAAGTTATTGGGTGGATAAGAAAACTGGAAAGGGGGGCAATAGAAAGAGGTTTGCGGCTAAGAAGATCAGAGTGCTGAATTTAGCAGCGGAAGAGGTTGTGACGAGGATTAATAACAGGGAGAGGGAGTGGAAGAGCAAAGGGAACACGATTGATTGGTGGCAGGTGGGGGATTTGATGGCGCCTTTTCCACACGGATGGTGGTTGAGGGATGATATTCACCCAAATCCCACTATTGGAGCAGTAGTTTGGGGAGGAGGAGTTTTGGAGTTTTTAGCAAGGACACCGAGAAGGGGGGATTAGAGGGCCTGTCTTATAGTCTGGGGGGCCCGGAGATTCAGAGCTAACGGGGTGTTTTTCGGCGTTGGGGTTTATATCTTTACATACCTAGGTTGTGATTTAATTTGTTGGGTTATTCGTGTGTATTTACGGGTTAGGGATGATGAATAAATGAATAAATCGTGACACCTTAGACTCATTTTACATTTTACATTTTGATCATACACCGATCGAGGCCTCGAAGGCCTATGCCGGAGAAAGCTGAAGAAAAAAGAACCAAAACCTGACCTCGAGGTCGGAGCCTCCTAATGAGGCGCCCTATCTCCTACTCCCTAAACGTTCCCGCGCAGAAAAAACAAAAAGTGTACATGTTTGGGAAAAATAAGACAGAGAGGCAACGCAAAAAACCGCAAAGAGAATATGCATACATAGTGACTTCCGTGAGAAAAAACACAATCGTCGAAAAGAAATAAAAAGGCTCAACACCCGCGCTCTTACACGTATCGGTACCTTAGACTCATTCCTGAATCTTCATCATAGATAATTTGACCGAGTGATCTAATATGAAAGTTAGTATGTGATACTTTGTACTAAAGTCGAACTGTAGGTACTGCGTGATGGGAAATAGAAATGAGGTTGGAGACGGAAATTGTCGTCAACCCAAAAATCTTCAAAAAAGAGTGTCTTGATTGGGTATTTCAGCAAAACCAGTAGACTATAGTTGTAGAAGAGCCTTGCGATTAGACACGCCGCACGATACAGATGGGTAATTTTACTACATATTGCATATATTTTACACACTAACATCTAGCGGCCTCGCTAGCTCAATGGCTAGAGCGTGGGACTTTTAATCCCAAGGTTGCGGGTTCGACCCCCGCGTGAGGCTTTCTTTTTGACTTTTCAAGCTCCTTGCTTACGTTAATGAGTGTAATTTTTGTCATGTCTTGTCACTCTTTATCCTCAATGAAATTTTATACACAACGTTCCATCGCATACAGTGCAATACTTTTTGGGGTCAGTTATCTGACTTCTCCCACTGTTGAACTCACACCATGGTAGAAGTTTGAATACTGTGTGCCTATGGTCTGTAGGCTACCTTCAATCATTACTTGAAATGTAGATACCCGACCATCTTGCAATGGAGATCGATCATGAAGTTGCTCGACATTCATGATCTTCAGGCCAGTAAATACTCGACGCTCGCATGGACAAGCCATTTTGCATTTCAACGTTGTGAACCAGGCCATCATGACGGTGCCAAGATCGCTTGCAACCGCTCTCCCGCCATCCCAATCCCAGCAAATGCGGATCGACATCCAGCCACCGAACACCTCGTTATCCCAAAAAACTTCACGCGCCCAACCATGTGCCTCACTTTTTTGCCGCTTTATCAAAGATAACCAATGGAACGGTTTCTGGCATGATAACAAGGATTCGCTTGGGGCGAACCACTTCTGTTGGCATTCGCGCCATAGCGGTTGGAAAACAGCCACATCAGGCTCCAGAATTCCAGCTCCGCAGATGCCCGCTCGCTCGATCGCTCCATCGCCTTCGGGAAAATATTTAGACGCCTACATCTTTGATCCGCTGATTTTGTTTCTTTCTTCTTTCCCTCCGGTCTCGATCATCCTCCGACCGACCCGGCTGCAGAATGGCTCACACATCCTACCGTAACAGCGCTCCAACTCTCGCGTCACGATCCAGCGGCTTCACTGGTTCTGTCGTTCCACACTCTCATCTCGTCCCCGCCGGACTAAAAGCTCACCCGATCCCGCCTCCTACCCCCCTACCGACCCATCCGAGCTATGAACAACCAGCTGCAAAAGCTTCGTTAGATCCATCGGCTGCCGCTTTCGCTCTGTATTCTTACCTTTCTACACTTCTCCTGGGACTTGGATGGGATCCGTCTACTAGTTCGTTCACACAGTTCGTGACGACTCATAACCATCTGCTTGCTCATGAACTGGGATTACCGCCGGAGAAGGCGAGTAAGCTGTTTTTTGAACTGTGGGAATGCTGTACTCCAAGTATTGGTTGCGTAGCCGAAGCAATTGATGGTTGCAGAGAGGCACTGGGGTGTGGAGAGGATACGAAAAGGGCGCTTGCAAGAGTTTTTGAGAGAGACATTGGTGATAGAGTCGAAAATGTTTTAAGTGAATGGACGACGGAGGAGATGTCGGTGAAAGTGGGGGAAGGTATAAGGAAGCGAAGGAGATTGGGTGCATGGGGCGGATGGTGGGGTGAAGTCAGGGGGTGGGTTAGTAGTAAGGATAGGTAATGGGATGAGATGAGATGAGATGAGGTCGATGAGATCAAATATGATGATGTTAATGACTGGCATGTAATGAATAATTAAATGATGTTAGGGAAAGTAATAAAATATTCGAACTGGTGAGATTACTGAACATGATCCCAGTTGTTTAAGTTTTGGCACGTGGCACGGATTAACGTTGATCCAGGTAATATAAATGTCAAAAGAATTCGAGCTTAGACTGCAGCTATAGCACATAATAAAGACTGCAGAACATATGTATGATCCTTACACTGTCTTGAACCCAGACTTATATTACCCGGTAGTGTCTTATTGTTGAGTCAACATAGTATCTAGAGTTGGTCATTGGTTTACTGAAGATGGCTTTCGATGCGCCAAAACTTGTTGCTCAATAATGGATCAATCCCTCATAGCCCACTCTTGACTCGCAATAAGCCGGGGAAAAAAAAATTGAGTATCAACATATGCTACGGTTATAAGCGTGTGGAGAGCCGCTAATCAATCCTTTCACTCATTACTCCAATCGGTTTTTACTATCTATTCGATTCCAGTGCGCGCAAGATTGGTCTACCCAACTCCATAGATGAATATCATATCCATATCCTATTCTCGACTTCACTTACTCCAAAAAATAAACTGTCTTCAAATTACGTCTTTCACAAATTGAATCTCTTTTGCAAAATTATCTCCTCTTACGTGACTTACTTCACTACACGGTGGCAGTGATTTTAGGTAAACCCTTACAAGCCTTTTCCATATTTAAATAGCTGTTACAATATGATTATTATGGCTTACTAGAAATTTCTGATACATCTCTACCGCGATTTTCTATGGGGGCTTGGATATGGGTACACAATATTGCATAGTCGTAATTTTGATCGTGTGCGTCTCGCATAGAACCCTTCTCCTTCTTCCAAAAGTTTGGGAGATAGTCTCAGTTTCTATATGCCTCATTATTTGATGTAATCCAATTCAAGCATGTCCAATATATCTAAAATGATCATGTAATTCCTGTCTAGATCGCTTCTCTGTACTCCTAATAAACCGATGGGGACCTCTTGAAAACTTTTTTGAGACCTTTACGGCTCAGAATACCTGGTAGCCACTCAGGCTAATTTTTATGAGGAGAGCGACAATACCGGGTGCTCTGAAGACTAGAACGGGTGTTGGCATGTTAACCCTGTGATTTCATAGAGATATAAAAAGCTTTGTGGATGAAACGGTCCGAAAGAGTGATGAGGCAGTCTGTGAGTTATTTGCAAAGACGAGTGGGCGCTTGATCACTGTGCCTTTGGTTCATAATGACAGGGATATGATACAGTGTATTTATGAGGTGGTGATAATTAGAAGTACTAGAATCAAGTATAGTCATTCCACTAATCCTGTATACGATTTTTGACGATTTTTCTAATTCCGCAGCTTCGCCGAGTGACAACCGATGAAATTTCTAAACCCCGCGTTGATCGGCGGTTGTCCAGGCAACACCTGCTATTCATAGCAATCCACATCCCAGCACTCGACATAAACCTTCGTCAGCCCCCACCATCCCCGGTTCCGATTCACCCGGACATCTCAACATCCGAAGATAACACCGCTAACGCCGGATCGAAGATTTATAAAAATAAAATCATCTCCGTCGTTATCAACTTACGTTCTCCATCTCATTATCAATTCCCGAAAAACCATACATACACAATGGCCCTAACCACCAAACCCCGCGTCATCCTTGGTTGCATGACCTTCGGCGTTTGGTCCCCGCACCCCGCTTAATTGGACATCCAGCTAACTTATCCATCCAGAATGCCGAGCATGGCGGCAGAGTTACCGAAGTATCCGAAGTTCGCAAGATTTTCGAATATTTCTCCAACTCCGGATACAAAGAGCTCGACACAGCTCGTGTGTATATCAAAGGGGAACAAGAAGCCTTTACCGCTGCAGCTGGATACAGGGATCTCAATCTCGAGATTGCCACTAAGATCTATCCCCAATTTGGTCTCGATCATACTCGTGCTTGTATCAGAGCTACTATCGAAAAATCACTTGCGGAGCTAAAGACGGATTGTGTGGATATTTATTATCTCCATGCGGCGGATAGAAATACTCCCCTTGAAGAAACTTTGGCGGCTTGTGATGAGCTTTATAGGGAGGGGAAGTTTAAGAGACTTGGTATCTCTAATTTCACAGCGTTTGAGGTGGCGGAAACTGCAGTTTTGTGTAGAGAAAGAGGCTGGGTGAGACCGACGGTTTATCAGGCTATGTATAACTGTGTTACTAGGGCTATTGAGAAGGAGCTTGTGCCTGCGTGTAGACGGTATGGATTGGATATTGTGGTTTATAATCCGATTGGTATTGCTTCCCATCCTCTGCTGAGTTAAGGGAATAGAAAACTGATGAGTTTATCAATAGCCGGTGGTCTTTTCTCCGGTAACTTCAAGCCTGATACTGTTCCTGAGACTGGTCGCTTCTCAGACAAGAACCCAGCTGGAAAGATGTACCGTGGCCGCTACTTCCATGACTGCTATTTCTCGGCGGTTGAGATGCTGTCAAAGGAGGCGGAGAAGCATGGGATTTCCATGCTTGAAGTTGCTTTCAGATGGTTGCTTCATCACTCTGCCTTGAATATGGGAGCGAGGGGAAATGATGGTATCATCATCGGTGTCAGTTCCTTGGATCAGCTTAAGGCAAACTTGAAGGCATTGGAGAAGGGACCTTTGCCGGAGGACCTTTTGGCGAAGGTTGAGGAAGCTTGGGAGATGGTCAAGAGGGAGAGAGTTGTTGAGTATGTTATCCTTTCACTTTATCTAGCGAGAAAGCAGCTAACCAATTGGTGATAGTTACTGGCATCTTGACTTGAAGTACACTTACGAGTGGCCAAAGGAGAAGTTGTAAACGTCTGAAAATATTTCAAACAACAAAAAGTTCATGAAGATACCAGGGGTGATGGCGGGCGAGATGGCGGGTTTTGCAGAATCACAAAATATGCCACTGTTACACTTACTCAAAACAAATCCCCGTGAAAAGTGACGTAAATATAATGCTCATCATTGCATTCATCGTTAATCATAAAATCATAAAACTCTCAAAAATCCCCATACTACATCCTAAGACATCATCTCCAACTCCTCCAAGCACTCCTTGGCATGTTGTTTCGCCTCATCACTAACGTTTGGATTCTTCAACGTAGCCTTATACCCACCTATTGAAACTCTCAATTAGCCCCACATTCTTCCCGGATGTCTAAACGTAACTTTCCCAAGGATAATAATCTTACCAATGACGTTATGAGGATTCTTTCCCTCCGTGGAAACGTTATGAGCATCATCCTTCTTTTCATTCCTGATGGAAGTTTCAGTCTCTCTTCCTAGTTTATCCAACATCTTTTGTGCATGTTCCTTGGCTTCCTCGCTGGCGTGGGGATTCTTGAGGGTAGCCTTGTAACCACCTAATTCTTATATCAGCCTCATTTTTCCTTGATTCTCATTCTTCGATGACCGTGATCAATTCCACTCATAAACTTAACAGTCCACCGACCCCCCAAAGAGAAAAAAAACGCAGAATAAAGAAATCTTACCGATGACATTCCCCTTATTTCCCGAGTCACCGATATTCATATT